CCTAAAAAAAAAAAAAAAAAAAAAAAAACACATTTTTCTGATAAATTAATGTTTAGATGTTTTAGTTTCTAATGTTCGAGTGTTTCTACGACGATGTTCTTAATCATACCCTCTTACGATGGATCGAATTGGTGAAATTAAACAATAGGAACGAATCAAAATAAAAAAATACTCGAATATTAGAGACAGAGATCGGAAGAGAAAAAGGGTTTGTTGTTTACTTTCGTGGCCGCCGAGATGTTCGACGGCGTGAACGAAACGAGCATGTAAGGAGGTAGTCCATCTCATTCTAGGAGCTCTCATGCTTCTTTTAGGAGGAAGCTTCTGCAAGAATCTGGATCTCATCATCATCCCATGAGAACAAACATCAGAAGAAGAAGAAGCTGCATTACTATTACTATGCAAAGATTTAATTCCTTCAACCGAAACCGCCCCATTGTTGAACCTCGCAGCGGAATTTCGATAACCCGTTTGAAGAACTCCATTCGGGTTCGGGTGATTTGGGTAGAAGGATGAAAATTGATGGTGGTTCTGATGATGAAGATGATGATGATGATAACGATGATCTTTCTGATCCACAGCCAAAAATGGAAACGGGCGATTGTGATACACGGGAATCCCTTTGATCGGTCGCAACCGGTCCGATACGTCGAACCCCGAAACCCCGCGAAGATGGTGGAGTGGTGGGGGTAGCGGTGCACGGCCGGGAAGATCGTTGTTGGTACCGAGAGAGAGGTCGGTCTGGGCACGAGGGTTATCGGAATTACTCAAAAGATCAAAATTTGTTTGATGGAATCCATGGGTGAGGGTTTTAATTGAAGAAGAATTAGAGGAGGAGGAAGAGGAGGAGGAGGAAGAAGCATTTGGAGGGCTGATTTGAAGAGAGAGATCAGGAAGTGGGGTTGAAGAAGGTTCAATAAAAACCCCTTCCAAGGGCATCTCCTTGTTCTTGCTGTTCTTGCTGTTCTTCTTCTAGTTGCTTAAGAAAGTGTTCATGGGGGAAGGGAAAGATGGGATTTTTGTTGTTTAATGATGAAACCCAGATGGGAAAACACATAAAAACTTGAAAAAATCCGACCCAGAAAGCCAAATCAAGAGAAAATGGTGTGTAGAGAGAGAAGTTAGGAGAGAGAAAGTGAGGAGAGAGAAAGTGGAGTTAGAGAGAGAAAATTTGAGAGATTTGGGGTTTGAGTATTATGGTGTTTCTCTCAAGAGCTTATATCAGAAAATGACAATGAAGAAGAAGGAAGAAGGAAGAAGAAAGAAGGAATGGCACAACCTTCTCTCTCCTCTTACTCTATTTCTATTCTCTCTCTAGTCAAAATAGAGAGATAAAAAATTAAAAAAATTCAAAATTTTATATTTTTAGTCAAAGATTCCAATGGAAGTGTTTTCTCTGTATCTGTCTTGAGAAAAAATTTGTGTCCGATATTGTCGGCTTTGGCGTTACATGTCAGACTCACAGTTTTAAAATGCATCTAGTAGGTACCTACTAACGTGAGATCTCACAATCCACCTCTTCAAGGGTCCAGGGTCTTTGGCACACCGTTCTTGACTCTGATGTTATTTATAACTGTTTAAGTTTATTGTGAGTAGATATTGTTTGTTTTAACCTACGTATCTTCGTTAGCCTCACAATTTAAAAACGCATATTTATTAGAGAGAGGTTTTAAGTTCAAATCAACAGCATTTTAAGTTCGAATCATGTCATAACAAGATAACTTCAACTCACATAAAATATTTAGTCTGAATCAAGAGGTTCGAGTTCGAATCACTCACCCACAAATTAAAAAATCAAAAAGATATATTAAATAGAAATATAATTATTATTTAATCAACTTGAATATAATTCAACTGGTTAACAAACAAAATATTATACTCAGGCCGAGATTCATGTCTGGAAAATTAAATATTTTTTAATAACAAAATTAAATAATTTGTTTAAGTAAATTAAAAAATAATAATTTATTTATTGAGAAGGCCGGAGAGGGCGGGATAAAAAATGTTCCGAGAGAGAAAGACAGCATCACGTGTGAATACTTTTCCCCACCCTCTTCGCATCTCTTTTTCTCTCTCACACATTATTATTATTATTTTCTTTTTTAAATAAATAAATAAATTTGTAATTTCCATTTCCTATAAAGGACGAAATTTATATTTATTTCCATATTCAATATTATAAATAAATACTCTTTGTTTAATTTGTACTATGAGAGCAATTGAACCATAATTATTCTAAAATTAATTTTCTCTCCATTTACGGTAATAAAAAATTAATTTATAATTTTATTGAACTGGGTTAAGGGGCGGTTGAGCTACTTAAAATTTACATAGCCTAACGATTTATAACACGAACGATTCCCTTCAAATTGGATAATGGATCGAGTTCATTCCCTGTTTGTCAAGGAAATAATAGCAAGAGAACGTGGCTCGAAAAAACCTCAGAGTCTGGTGATTGGCTCAAGTCTGCACGTTACCTTTACCATTAACCATTTAAATGGGAGAGAGTAAAAAATCTTTTAACGGAACATATATTTCTTAACCGTGAAGGATTCTTTAATTTTTAATTTAAATTAATATCTTTTTTTATTATCAATTTAGTAAAAAATTGCATTATTTTTTAATTAAAAAAATCATACGAAAAAGGAGCCAGAAGGCATTGACCTTGATTAGATTGCAGACCACAAAGGTGTTTTTGTTTGCTTCCCTTAATAAATTCGACATGTCGTTTACGAAGCTTCTAGATCTTAGTGTATTATTATTATCATTATTTTTTATTATATGCTTTTCCATTACATTCTCCTAGATATTCCTTCTCTAATCTTTCAGCAATCCTTATCTGGCATGCAAATATATATATATATGAATATAAATAAATCATATTGTATAAAATATCATATTTTATTTTATTTTATTATATGGTCTTTATGGTTTGACCCTTTCAAAACCCTAGGCTTAAATACTGTCATGTGTATATGTACACATGATCATCAAAGCTTCTTATTGGGGATTCACCCATCTTTAAATGCATGCTCTCTTTCCTCAGCTTATAAAATTCTCTCTTCTTCGGTTGGGTAGCAATAACTCTAATCTTTATTGTAATAGTCCGAGTTCACTGTTAATAAATAATGTCTGTTTTAGCTCGTTACATATCGTTGTCAATCTCATGCTTTAAAAACGCGTCTATTAGAGAGAAGTTTTCACATCTTTATAAGAAATGATTCGTCCCTCTTTTCAACTAATGTGGGATCTCATGATCCTCTCCTATTGGAGAGGTCATCGTCCGATGTCTGGCTCTGATACCTTTTGTAATAGTCTAGAACCACTGCTAACAGATATTGTCCATTTTTTTTGGACAACATCATTTAATCTGGGCTGGGCGATGTTTTATAAAATTTAATGTCACATTAAGATTGAAAGAAGTTTGACATCTTTAACATCATAAATAGAATAAGAACTAAAGTTTTACTTTTCTTTTCTTTTACTCAAAGGTTCCATTAATTTTTTGATAAAAACTTAGTAAACTCTTTAATTTCTCAAAAACTTATGAATGTGACAAATATGAAGCATTAAAATTCAAATTTTATTATTACCCATCAATAATTTCTTTACAAATAATATATATATATATAGGTCAACTTGATCGAAAAGGGATGTCATTGACCACTTTTCGTTGTTTTTCAAATGGGTATGTAACAACCCATGTTCAAGATTCGAAATCAAAATTCAACACGTGATGGCCTGACATTCCTTTATGATATGATCACGTTACCTACTCCTTCTAAAAGTGAAGACTATCTCCACAGACCAACACGAGTCTTCCCAGCATATTTTGTCCTTACTCACATGCATCCCAGAAAAATTCTTAGAAGGAGCATGTTTAGCCATTAAGTTCCTATGATTTAGCTACCAAAAAGGAATGTGTACTTTGTGGGTATAGGTTGCTCTCATTCAAATGTGATCTCGGTTCAAGGTATCATAGGGTACCACTAACAAGTTCAAAAAAATATCCTTTCTCATTTCAATCTCTTAGTAAAAAACTTACAAGAAATTATAAAACGGGTCATTAAAAACGCTCTCGATAGTTGAAAGGTTCGAGCTGGTATATTTTACGTAGTCGAGACATGAATGAACGGATCGTAAAGAAATTAAAGGCATTCATATAACAAAGATGTGTGAGAGTGACAAATCACAACCACCTCCTTTAACAACTTTAATAGGGATTCAGATCATTCAGAGTTCCAACTTTTCTTGTGTATGTGAAAACCTAATACTCAATACCCACATTTATTCATACGAAGGACGTTGGGAAAAGGTTTAGTCCAT